AAAAAAAAAAATACTTAAATTTAAGTAAAACCTAATTAGAAATCTTGAACACCACAAAATTATTTATGTTAATTTAATGCTGTGGCGTTTGAACTTTCTCATTTATCTCATTCTAAAATTAAAATTTTTTGTATCTATTCAATCGTTATGCAAGCGGTGGATCGCATATCAAAGAGCTTATTTTTCCAAACTCTCTTTAATACATATTTCACGAACGCCACAGACAAGTTTCTACGTAGTATACTTTAATATACCTAAATTATATTAAAAGTACAACTAAAATTTTAAACATATTCCCACAATCTACAATAACAGTTTGCTAAACTCGTAACGAGACTGTATTGATTTCCCACATTCCCTCTCGGTTTTAGCGACTATGCTTCATACAGAAATGCGCAAAATTTCACTGCTGCTGTTGTTGTTATTTGGATTTACATTAGCGCTCTTGCAGTTGGCATTCAATTGTCCATAATCGCTGAGCATTTTGAATAATTGCTGTTGTTGCTTCAGCAGGTTTTGTTGCACCTGTGACGGTTGTGCGCGCTGTTGTTGTTGCTGCTGCTGCTGTTGACGAGTATTGCGCGCCAAATCATACAACTTTCGACGGCGCTCATAGAATCGGGCAACACGTTCCAATTTCAACTGTTCGTCAGAATTGGCGTTGCTGGCCGTTGTGGTGGTGTTGGTGGCGTTGCTGGTGCCCGAGTTGTTATTTGCAACAGCATCATGGTTGTTGTTGCCGCCAATGGTTCCAACAGAGTCAGCAGACTGTTGTGCCGACACTGATTTGTGGCTGCTACCACCACTTTTGTTGTGACTGACGCCCCCTAGGAAATCGGCAATTTGACGTGGTGAAAACTTCTGCCGTTTGCTACCGTCATTTCGGCTATGGTTGTTGTTGCTGCTACTGGCAAGCGGCATACAGCGCTTTATTAATTTGACACGATCATTGCCATTCATAGCTGTGTTGTTAACAAATATGGTTTTGCTGGTTTGCGCAAGCACAGGGCCAGCGGTGCTAGGCCGAGGTGGTGGTGGCAAACGGCTCGTGGGCGTAACCACAGCAACAGGTGCACCGGTTTGTGATTTGCTGCGCACAAGCGTGGCGCCCACACTTGCGGTACTACTGCCGCCACTGGTCGATGAGTTGCCCGATTTTGAGCGGGAACGTTGCATGGACGACACGGGAGACACAGCCGAGCTACAGCCATTAGAACTTGCGTTGAAGGTGATCTCTATGCCGCCGTTGCTGGTATTACCCGCAATATGTTGCTTCTGCTGTGCTGCATATAGTTGACTTTGCGAAAGAGACGAGTTCGTTATAGTAATACTGCCAATTGAAAACTCATTCCCGCCTAAAGAATTAGTCGATGAGTTGCCGAAGTAGTTTTGCATCGACTTGGTATTGCTAGATAAGCGGACAGCGGTCGATGAATTCGTGCACACCATGCCATTGATGCCACCGCCACTCAGTGTAATTGGGCTGTTGTTGGCTTTGCGGGCGTTCAAAATGTGTTTCCTGAATGTTGTTGCCGCAGCAAAAGGCAGCTTGATAAGACCAAAGCAGTTGATTGCAATGGGCTTAGGTATACCTGTGTAGAGGTAGGCATTCAAGTACATATCCTCATAATACTTACTAGCGCTGCTGCCGCTGGTGTTCAACTCGGTCTTTATGGACTTTGAGTTGCCGCCATTATTTGTTCCGCTACTACTACTGCTGCTGATCGATTTAACCGTCTCTAAAAGAGAGTAGTCAAATTCTAGTAAATCGTCATCATTTTCATAGCCGGCTTCTTTAATTGACATGCCGTTATTGGTTGGTTGCAGAACCTGTTGCGAAACTGTACTGGGTGCATCAGTATTCATTTCCGTTGCAACCTGATCATAATTGGTGTGCGTTAGAAAATCTGTAAGCATTTGCTGCTGTCGTTGCTGGCTTATAACAGCCACCTGATTGTTATCAGTTATTTCATAAATCAAATGATCTTCGCCAGCGCTGCCCGGAAGCACATATTGTTGTGAAGCCCGTTGCATACCACTAACAATGGTGGGCATTAGAATGCCATTCTCATCACCAGTGGACACATGTTCTGCTGTTTCCAAATTATCATCTGTGAGTGAGGGAACATTGTATAGTTGAAAGTGTGCTGCCATATTATCATAGGCATTCACATACGCACCAGCGGTTGACGAAATGGTAGAAAAATCGCTTAACTTGTTCGATTTCATATCAACCGTGGCACACATATCCATCAATTGCTTGGCGCTAACAATATCATTATGGTCGTATTGTTGTTGCTGCATAGCCAATTGGTTTGCATCTGTATGATCATCCACCATGTTGTTATCGTAGTGTGTATTCAATGTTTGTTGTTGGTAGAGAAGCTGTTGTAATTGCATTGCGTCGATGGCGGTGAGTTGTTGTTGTTGTTGCTGCTGCTGTTCTGTTGCATGCTGTAAGTGCGTTGGTATCTGCTGATGTTGCTCTACCAATGGACCGGATCCATTGAACATCTTCAAATCCTCTAGAGTAGCAACATTGTAGGGCACATACTGCTGTTGTTGTTGTTGCTGTTGATAGGCGACAAATTCACCGGTTATTTCAACGTCTTGGCCTTGCTGTTGAGTCTGTAGCTGCTGCTGCTGTGGCCCGCTTGCTAATATTGTCTCATCATAGCGCATGCGCTTAGCCCCTGACGGCACCTGTTGGTGCTGATATACCTGATGTTGTTCCTGCTGCTGTGATACAGCTGCCGTATCCAATTCGTTTTCGTCAAAATGTATTTCCGTGTCAGCCGTACTGAGAATTTCATTGATAAATTTACTATCGAAAACGTCGTCAAAAGTCAGTATGGAATTATCATCGGAAGTATTATGCGGAAGAGCATCTTCGCAGGCTTGTACAATTTCTTGCGGTACCACATAGTTTGGTTGCATTGCTGATTGGCCCACACTCATGTTATTAGCTGTAGCAGTAGCGATTATTTGATGTAGTTTATCGTTGTTGTTTTCAGTAACGGGATTAGAGCTTGGCATTTGAAAAATGTTATTTGTAGCTGTTACATTAGTTGTAGGGTCCATGACATGTTTTAAAGAGCTGCCAATTTTTTTATCGGCTGCTCCTTCTATTGAAGTGCATTCAGTAATTGAGGAAACGGCCTGATCGAGCTCACTCAATTGAGTTGAGTCAAAGTTTGTTATGTCTTTAACAGCAGAAACCTTGCTTGATTCTCTCGCAATAGGAATAGAACTAGAAGCAGCGCTTGTATTAGCCTTAGTTTTTGTTGTATTTGTTGTATGTGGTGATTTTGAGGAAAGTGCTTTGCCAGTTGAGTTTGCGCGTTCGTATTCGCCGCTGGAACTGGATACAAATGAATCGGCGGACTCTTGGGCAACGAAAGCGGGACTTTTAACCTAGAATTTTCAATTAGAAAAATGAGACTCATAATAGGGGTATATAGGGAACGGAATGTTTGGTCCTAACTATTTAAACGGCAAATTGTAATTCTATGTAACACCTCATATGCGAAGTCTGCAGACGAATATATAACCTACCTCAGATATATTGGTGCTCAGTTTTGGAGTCGGTGGCAAAGAGCACGACGAATTCGATGATGACGAGTAAAGTGCGATTTGAGTTGTAGCCACCGTATCTGTTATCGTGTCCTTGCTATGTTTACTACTATTTCCCCCTGCACTAGAACTTGTTGATGCAGATGTAACTAATGTCTGCGCATTGCTCGCATTGTCGCTTTTGTTCGCATTAGAGCTTGAGCTACTAGCCCCTTTCTTGGAACTTTTGCTCGGCGCTTGAGTATTTTCCGAACTGGGGGTGCTGGACGTATGAATCCCGACCGAAGCTGCATGGGCGTTACTACTATTGTGGCGTGATTGTTTACTCCGCGACCGACTGCCACTGGTGCTACTGCTGCCGCCGGAGCTACTCCCTGCCGTTGCACTATTACTTTTGCTACTTTTATGACGCGGTGTAGCTGCATAAGTTGAAGAAGTTGTCGACACGGAAGATGATGATGACGATGCGTTGGATGATGTCGACATAATACCAGACAAATCAGAGGGTGAACCCAAAATCTCGTTAGGTGCTGTGGAACCTGATCCCTCACGACCGCAATCTTGACTATTATCGTTTGATATCAAATTGTACATTTCATTCGCCGTTGATGCATGGCTTAATTTTGTAGAAGCTGCACCCCATGCAGATGGATGTTGCATCATCATATGATTGTTAAAGCCGACCATAGTGTAAATGCCACGGCAAATGCTGCAAACGATAACATCCGCTGATGTCTTCTTGGGCACGATGCCGTAATAGTGCATATCGTTACCACTTAATCGTTGCACTTGGCGTAGAGATCGGCTTCCCTTGGATGTGGATGCGTTGGACTTTGACGATGTAGCAGATGAACTGGATGGAGAATTCTTTCCATTGTTACTTGAAGAACCTTCACCCTTATGACGATGATGTTGCTTTTCAGCGACGCGGATTTGCCTCAACATTTTATCAAAATCAAAGAATTGCTGCCATTTTTGGCCCTGATGCTTAATCAACGAATTTTCGATGTTTTTATTCGAATTACTTGACGATTGCGCCTCGCTGGACGTATTGCCACTTCTATTCGCTGCCATTGTAAAGGCGAAGTTACTGGTTCCAGATGAATGCTTTGATAGTTTTTCAATGTTCACTGTAGAAATGCCGCTATTGATGGGCATGACTTACATACAGCAAAAGCGGTTTATTTTGTTATGTAGTTTACAAAAAAGCAAAAAACTAAACTCGCCTCTTGAACCGAAATTCCTGAGCTAGATAAGATCGTTCCTACGACAGTCGGGTCTACGTAACCGGAACGACCCAGGTTTATATCTGGCCAAGGACTGTTACTCCAGCAACACTCCCCAAAAACTTTTGGGGAATTTGTATGCTGCTACAACAGCAGACCACAAGCTTGGGATATATGTACATACATATGTACTATGAATGTACGTTAATGAAGCGTATAAGACCGCCTTTTTGGAGCCAACCAAAAACCAACCAGAATTCTGAAATGTTGAGAATATACATATTAAATATTGCAAATTGTATATTTCTATGGATAAAATTTGTGCCAACAAAATAAGCAAATCGTTATTGAATTCAGTTTAAATTAGTTAATTTATAAGTATATTTCCTTTTGTTAAAAGCCTTGATAAATTTATAAGAAAATATGTACCGAACGTAATTTATTCGATCAATATTTTTGGTACTCATTTAGTGATACAAATATTATACATCACTGATGTATGCAGAATAGTGCCCAATAGGGCATTCAATCCCGAAGCAATTTGACAATTCCGGGATTTCGGGATACAAAAAATTCTAATTCCGGGATTTTTCGGGAATTCGACTTCCATCACAAATTTTGCATTTAACAGAAAGAGAAAACTACTCACACTTGAAACGATTATGCGTTAGATTTCTCCAGGAGCCCTATATAAAATTATGCAAAGTTTTTGAATTTCTCACACAAACTTTTTGTAGTACGTGTCGTATATAACGCATTAGTTAACAACTAGGGTTCTTACTGGGACAGTTCTAGCACAAAATGTTTAAACAAGTACAGTTATTCAGGCAGTTCCTGAAACTCACTTCCAAAATTGCTCAAGTTCACTTTGAATAAAAATTTTGGTGCTCTGTATTTCGCATTTTTCATGTCAAATTAATTAATGTTTTCGTTTTCAACATCTGTTTCATTCTCCCCGACACTTCTCCATGTCCCGAAATCTCGGGTTTCGGAATCCCGGGATTGAATGCCATAGTGCCTAATTAACAGCTGTTACTATAAGACAGCTGATAATCAATAGCCTCTATACATCTCTTTCACACGCTCACACCCCTAATAAAAATGGTTTGATAAAAAATTTTTCGATTTAATTTTTTTAGGCAAAAATGCGGTAGCTTTGGCTTTAACCACGTCCTTTAGCCACATCAACATAGTAGCATGTTTACACAAATCTCGGAAGGAAAATCCGATGGCACAAACTCAAAAACACGAAATGTACTACCAAGTGAAAACAAATCGGTTTGAGTTAATCCCAAGGAAGTACATACGAAGTTTTTTTCAGAATACCATTCCACGAATGGAAACAAACCTCAACCAAAAGCCGTGTACAAACAAATGCTACCGTTTGGAAAATTCACATTTTAAATAAGATCCATTATCTTGGAGAAATCTTATTCTAAATTAAAAAGATATTTGGCCAGCACTCTTACCGGAGTACACACGGCAGAAAATTTTACTTACTCGTTACTTTTATACGATTACTTTATAGTGCTGAACGGAAAATGTGCTGAATCTTGTAGGGTTGCTCGATTTCTGTTCGTGATGCAAATAATTGTTAAGAATGATGGAATACAAGATTGCGCGTTGCAGCAGCGATTACTAGTCTGATAAATAGCTGACTTTAGTATTGGACTATCTGCCCATACTGCCGTCCCTAAATTGGCGCATCAAGCGCCAAACAACTGTCAAAACTCCTCATTCCCGTACAATTAGTATGGAGCATTCCACAATAACGCGGCGCTAGCGCCGAACAAATGGAATTTTCATTTTTGAGAGAGCGTTGCATGTTGCAGTTGGATGCAGAAGACGGAAAGAAAGAGAAAGGGCAAAAAGTTAAAGAGGAAACGAGAATAAAACCGAGAGGAAATGAGAAAACGTCAAAAATGACGCCGCGTTTACTTGGGGATAGCGCGCGCTGACACTCGTTGACAATGGAAAACGCAACTCTCAGCGCTCCAATTTAGGGACGCTAGATAGTGATCTCGATCGAAAAACCCACTGACTTTGCTTTCGGGGAACACCGAACTTACGTCATTTTTTGCAAAGCTGATTGAAACGGCTTCGCGGAAGTTACTGGACGCCCCTTATCTGCCCTTCCCACACCAGCCGACGTTAACTGAAGTGAAGTTACACGATCAAGAACTTGGTTTCACGTTGATCACACATACTGCTTGTCAAAATTCATTAGAATTGACAGCTGTGACACAGGCCGCACGCAACTTGATAGTCAATTTTACTTTAAAGATGCCGTCGTCAAGGCAACAACTTAAAATTCTCGTTTCGTTCACCCTCATATTTATAATACCTGCAGTAGTATATTCCTGGCTATTTTTCACTAAATCCCGAAGTACGGGAACAGACTAACTGTGATCAGCTGTTTGGGCCCCGTCACACGGTCAGTATTTATTGACGTGATCCAAATATCACGATATTAGGTTCTTTCCCGTACGCAACGCAGGATCCCGCGGGTGCCCAAAACAGCCCAGAAATCATTCCCGTACTCAACGAAATGGGTAATAGAGAGCGAAAATTGGATCGTATTGGATCGTAAGTGTCTTCTTTTCTTCCTGTCCGAAACAGCCCAGACTTTTTCTCCGGGTAAAAATGGATAAAGTGTCAAAGTGCATATCAGCAAAGAACGTAAATCTATAAGAGGAGACAACACCTTATAATTGTAGCGAGTGTGAACATCAGGAGCGTGCCTTCTATTTTCATCCAATCACAAAACGTATTTGGGTAAAAGCGAAAGCACGCTCCTGATGTTCCCACTCGTTACAATTATAGCGTGTTGTCTCTTTTTATAGATTTACGTTCTTTGATATCAGTTGTTTTGTGTTTTCATGTTGCCTGCATTTACTTGGTGCTTTTAAGGAATAGTGAATGGCCTGTTGATGTATTTTCAATTTTTATATACTTAAAATCAAATTTGTGAAACAAAAATTCAATTTCCAAGTTTGTGCATTGAAGTGACACGTGAATCGGATGTTTCTCAAATTCTGGGCACGAAGTGTGTTTTTTCGCGTTCCCGTACTTCTGGACTATGTTCCACTTTTGAGAGAAAACTTTTCGCTTATTCTCTAACTACCGGATCTGGTCCGGATTGTTAGGGAAAAAACCTATTGGGCCTCCGCACACTGGACTGCTCAGTCCGCCTAAAACCGGTTTTGTGTTGATAAGAGGGGGAAGAGAGTTCGAGTTTACCTCGCTCATTTCAGTCCGCGAAAATCGCGGATTGACGGTGGACTGACACGCACACATAGACAACATTTTCTCTATTTCGTTTTGTTTGCATGTGCCACATGCACTAACACAATCATGCGTAGTTCATGTATACAAAACTGAAACCTGTTTTGGGCCGACTTCCCAGTCCAGTGTGCGTTCGAGTGGTGCATGAACGAAAGACACAAGATCACGTAAGAACAAGAGAGTGAAAAAAGTCGATTTTTTTAGCGGGTTCTACGCCATCTTGTTTCACTGGAAAACGAGCGAAAAGTAAACAAAGCAAAGAAAACAACGAAAACCAAAATTAGCCAAAATTATTGTCAGCCACTTTAAACGCACAATTTAGGTAAAATGATGCAACAAAATGCTTTAAAATGTGTTGTCATGTTGAATTAACTCTTCTTTACTTGAATACAAGTGTAAAATAGTTGTGCTTGTGATGTAAACAAACGCTCAGCTGACAAACCCGCTTTTGCAAACTTTTTTCTCAAAACCAGTTACAAATACAACGTCGCGTTCTTACGTGATCTTGTATTTTTGGTTCATGCGAGTGGTGGACTGCTCAGTCCGACTGAGCAGGCTAGTGTGCTCAGGCCAATTTATTGACGGTGTAGCATGCAGTATGGGCCCTGTCACACGAGCAGTAATTATCACGATATTTGGATATTTTGTACGTATAATTTACAGATAACGCATTCCACAATTATTTTAAAATGTCCAATGTTAATTCAAATTTTTTCAATTTGCTTTGAAAGGTTTTAAGCGCAGAGAGCGACGGCAGAGCGATTACGTGTTGGATGCTCGCATTATGAGATTAAAAGATGTACTGACGAAATGCATGGATCGCGTTTTGAAAATGCTATACGTTCAATATTTATTGACGGAATAGCGATCCGCGATCCAGATTTCAAAATTTTTAGGCGGCTGTCACACCATCAATACGGATCGCGATCCTGTATCTCGTTTCTGTAACTCTTCTCTACCGATTATTTCTCTACTGATAGAGAATATCCGTCATTCTCTACTACTCATTAGCAGTAGAGAACAGGGTGGCGAATTATACTTGGTAGAGAATTGTTACAGAAACGAGCTACTGCATCGTGCCGTGTAGCATTGATGGATCGCGATCAATATCACAAGATTTCTAAGTAAATATTTTGAAATCCATCAATATGGATCAACATCCAAATAACGCGATCCGTATTGATGGTGTGACAGACGCCTTAGATGTTTTGCGATATGGATCGCGATCTATCAATTCTGTCAATAAATACTGACCGTGTGACAGGGCCCTATTGATGATTGACGTGATCCATATCGAAAAATTCCTAAAAATTTTGACAAACGAAGCGAAATATCCCTTTGCTTCAAGCTATTTGTGTTGTGTATGGGGTGTTTGAAGGTTTTACAAGCCGTTTGAGGGAAATTTGAATAAAAATCCAAATTTTTTGATTTTCTAGTGAATGATAAATTAACCTCATTTGCAACGGAATTTTTACCGAGTGAGGACGAAAGAGAAAAATGGAAAAACCAATCGAACACAGATATATTCGAAAGTCCTGTACACCATATATGTATCAATTTCAGACTTTATGCAAAAATTTCACCAACTTTGAACTTTTTAATCAGCATATTTACAAAAAGGTATGTATGCAGCTTTGTTGCCCATTAAAATTTAGTATAATATTGTGGCGAATACTGCGGCAACGCGAAGCGAACAACGAGAAATAGGCAGAATGTTCGAGGAATGACGTAGAATGTTCCACAAAGAGAAACGTCAAGTTGGATGAACACTGCGAACAGCGAGAGAAAGAGAATGAGCGATGAACTTCAGAACATTCTAGAGTTGCCATGAGTGCGAGCGCAGGTATATAAGAGCCACGACACAGCGGAGTGAGTGAGTTACCAGTCAGCAAGCTACAAGTAAAGTGAGTTGCGAATAAGCAAGCAAGTGTTAGCAAGTTTTGCAAAGCGTTGTAATTGCTTTAACGAGTATTTTAAAGTGTTTTTACGGTATTAGCGAGTATTTGAAATTGTTTGTTGTACAATAAAGTTAATTGTACTACAATTTGGTCATCGTGAGCATTTATTTAACAATCCAGCGATACGAGGCGTAAGATATTTGGGAAATCCCTAAAGTTCTGAACACATTGAAAACGACGAGCTACAGACCACAGCTTCCAATTTATCACCTTCATTATCTAAACGCTTTGTCGATGGCGACATGCTTTCTTTGAACGCGGCAGCGACATCATGAATTTGTATGAGTTTGACATAAAAGAAGAGGAAGAACCTTATCTGTCGCCAGAAAAAGAGAAATAGATCTAATCTGGCCACAACCACAGCCGTCGCGTAGCCCGGTCGTCGCCAA